ATACGGTGTCATTCCATTGCAGACTGTATTTGCAATTAAAAATATTACTTTGAGATTTTGCATGTAACTGCATTATATCCTGCGGAAAACAACGGTATCGCTTGAGGTGTTACAGACAGATTACCGACTTAAATATGACACAGGGGTGACAATGGTTTCTTTTGATAATGCAAACTGAGACCCAAGGCTCGCAGGTACGTTCATGCTGTGAAGCTTGAGAAATCTATTCAACCATATGGAAAAGACGATATTCACCAAAAGGAGTCACCGACGTGGTGAGCAATTATGAAATTATGCAAGACATGGAATCGCACCTAAAATAACAGCGCTTTTCCCTCAGAGGCAGCAGCTGGTAAAACAGTAAGGCTCATGGTGCTACGAATTACTGCTTATTAATACTGTCAACTTGAGGAAATCTCGCTAGAAATGACTTAACATCGAAAGGACTGAACAGCAAGCTAACATTATTCGATCTAGACGGAAGCCTTTTACGGCATCAGGCATCCTCATAGATGTGCAATGGAATAACAAAATCGAGGAGAGAAATGAAAAGAGGAAATCGAAGAATAAGCGGAAGAAGAAGGACCTGGCAAAGTGCAACGACAGATCACTGCTAGACGAAGCAAAGCTGCTAGACCTGGAAGATGAACGTCGTAAAATCAAATGAAACAGTTGTTGAATTCAGAGAATATAGGTGGTCTATTTGAGCATTAGATTCAGCATCGCTTGCTCTAAACAGAGTTGGTCAATGGAAAAAACGGGAGGGGGGTTTCTATTGGCTTCTCGAAATATAAACGCAATGTAGTAAAAGTGAAATGCGCCTCATAAATGTGTACAAGCCTTATTCTGAGATTTCAAAAGAAGTATGAACTCTACTCGATTCAACTACGTGCCCTGGGATTAATCCATCTTGATCAATGGGTCGACAATTATCATAAAAATATCTAAAAATTGTAGGAACATGGAAAGATGCATTACAAATTCATCGTCGGTCATTTCAACGCCAAAGAAAATGAATCGTTTGTGGATAAACTTCAACTCTGTGTAAGCAGCGAG